CTCTGCCGTATCTGTATCTTGATTTTTTGAGTTTTGTCGTTTCCCGTTTCCCGTTGTCGTATCCGTTTCCATGAAACTTAGGCAAGAACCTTAATCTCGCTAACAAGAACAATGGTGTTCTTCGTTTTGCTGTGAAATACAATCCCATTCCTGAAGGTTCATATCACCCAAGCAAAGGCTAATAAAACAACAGAAATATTGGTGTGTTCCTTCTTTAGGTTATTAGCAACACACTCAGGAGTGAAATCATGTTGAATCGAGGTTGCAACAATAGGAAAATCGATCCACTAGTTATGAAGGGCAGACTGAACCTCCAAAGCAATGGAGCAATCCATGAAAATATGACCTTCTGTTTCCTGTTTTGTATTGCATAAGGGACATAGAAGAGAACCCACATTAACTCCAATGCGCTCAAGATTGGTTTGAATTGGTAATCTACCTAATCGTGCCCTCCAAACAAGTAAATTAGCTTTACCTGGTGCAATTTTATTCCAAGCGGTCTTGAGCGGACATTTGGTCAGAATTTTAGCATCGATAATCCTCCTAAGGGAGGAAACAGTGAAATTACCGTCAGGTTCTTCACTCCAGCTCCACTTTTGATTCTGCCACAGAAACATGTTTGCAAGGTGGATGTCTTGATGATCAAGTGCAAGGTGCAAGTGGCTAATGTTTCCCCAAATACCACGTCTATTGGTAGTAGATCTAACACGACCAATTCCACCATCACTACAATGAATTGCTTAGATGACTTCTTTCCAAAGAGCATCGTCTTCATTTTTTAAGCACCGCCATCACTTGCCAAGTAGAGCGAGATTAAAGGCATGAAGGCTTCCAATGTCAAGGCCTCCATTTTGATTGTAATTCAAAACTTTTTTCCAAGCAATCCAGGTTGTTTTGCGGTTGTCCAAACTACCACCCCAAAAAAATTTATTACGGATTCTTTCAATGTGTTTGATCACTCCCATATGTGCCTTAAAGAGTGAAAAAAAAGAGTAGGTAGCAAGGCTGCCAAGCACATTTTTACAAAGGATTAATCTACCGCCGAAGGATAGGTTACATGCCTTCCACAATGAGAGCTTCTTTTGGAAATTTTTAGTCACAGGTAGCCAACTCCAGTTTCTGGACATGTTGGCCCCGACCGAAACTCCAAGATAGGAGAAAGGGAGGGACCCAACCCCACAATTGAGTCGGAAAGCCATAGAGGATATATCTAGGTTGCTAACCCCGATACCCATCACCTTGCTTTTGGAAAGATTTACTTTGAGACCGGAGGTGATATGAAAACATCTAAGGATGTGAAGAAGATTAAGAGCATTCTCTTTGGGCCATTCGCCAAGAAAGATCGCATCATCCGCATATTGAAAGATGGAGAGGTTCGGTCCATTGTTGGAGAGATAAACACTTTTGTCTAAACATTTTTCTGCTGCTTCGAAGATTGCCGCTCTAAGACCCTCTGATGCGATGATAAAGAGGAAAGAAGACAACGGATCGCCTTGACGAACTCCTCTTTGGGGTTTGAATTCTTTGACATGATTTCCATTAACAAGAACTGAAACTTTAGGGGACGAGATACAAGCCATAATCCATGAAATCCATTTGTCACAAAACCCCATAAGCATCATCATATTTTTCAAGAAAGACCAACTTATGTTGCTTTGTCAAAGTCAACTTTGAAGACAAACATTTGCTTTTTCCTATGTTTATAAATGTGATAATGTGCTTTTAGGTTCAGTTTTTTTCTTATTTATTTACATTTCTTATTTTCATGTAGGGATTCTACAATTTCATTTTAAGCTGAATTGAGAATTCTCGAATTAACTTATTATTGTGCAACTCAAATTATATATAGAGTTTAAAATAGAGTTTAGATAGAGAGTTTAAAATAGAGTTTAGATAGGTTCATTTCCAACCTCACTATAAAATCTATTTTACCCTCTAAAATTAGAGTGCCTGGGAGATGATAAAATTTACTCTCCAAATTTAGAGTGTACCTATCAATTTCTCATTTTATAGAGTTGCGTTCGAGTTTTAATTTAGTGGGGTCAAAGATGCTGTTATTGGATCTTTAAATGTGAATCATCCACACTGAATTTCAATATCTTCATCAAAAAATTACTTCTAAAGAACTAAATCCGATCTAGTATGTATATATAACATACAACAATTGTAGAATAACAGAATTATTTAATTGTACAGTAATACTACCTTATATTGCATTTTGCATTGATTCATTTGTCATAAGCTTAAGCTAAATCTCATGAATACCGTTCTTTTTTGCTAGAAAAGAAGATTAATACACACTGTAAAAAATAAAATTTTGCTATAGACTTGAAATTTGAATGGTTTATTATAGGAAAAACAAAGATAAACCCTTGAAACAGAATAACAACAAGATCCCTAGGGCTGACATGCTTATAAATTCATATCACTGTGGGACTGTATCACTTTTCTTTCTCTTTTTCTTCTTTATGAAAACACACACACACACACACCCAGAGAGAGAGAGAGAGAGAGAGAGAGAGAGAGAGAGAGAGAGAGAGAG